CATTTCATATGCAGAAGTAGTGCTTATAAAGACCCTACTAAAAATTATTCCTTCTGGAAGAAGGTGGACATATGAGCGTTCATTTCAGGATATTTTTTTTTCTCTTTGTTGATTGTCAGTCCCTATCCAGAGGCGAGAGGGAAAAGTCCTACACATTATTAAAAAGATTGTCTTTATTGTCATTCTTTCTCATTTGTTTCTGGCTACCAGTAAAGAAATTAAACATGATTTTACGACTTAGAAAAATAAATCATTTCCTAATGCTACTTACATAGGGGCATGGCCACACCGATTGCCATTGACCACGTAGATGGACTTTTGTCCTGTTTCAACGACAGGACGGATTTGGATGGTCCTAAACACCTACGCTGCAGACAGTCCTGCCAGAAAGATGCATTTCCAGCACTGAGCCCTGGCATCCCTCAGTGCATAAGTGACAGGGAGGAAACATAGGCACGTATGTCCCCACTGGAGCTGCAGGTGTAACTCGAATTAGCATCAAGTTTTCTAGCTTAGCCATGGCCAAGGTGATTGATGCTGGAGCATGGACTGGTCCCCCAGGGCCAGCAGCCCACCCTGGCTGTCCGCAGGCTGCCGTGGGTGGGGGGCAGCTCCGGGACCCCCAGGAGGGCGCCGGGCTGGGTGGGCTGCCATCACCCTGTAGGGCTCTGGGTGGCGAGCCAGACCAGGCTGCTGAGACTTTTATTTTACGGCGCTGAAGCTGTTCCTGGTGAACTTTCTCGAGGCTGCTCTTCCCCCGAGGTCTCCTGTGAAGGGACATGGCTTTCTGTTTGTCTTGGCTTGCCTGCGGAGGGGCCGGTTTTGCTCACACCGCTCAGACCCTGCAGGACCAGCCTGTCCCCGTCCCTTCTCAAGGAGGGCAGCCACTTGCAGGCAAATGCTGCCTTCCCTCTTCCTTTGGTGCAGAGCACACGAGCAAAATTAATGAACCCAAGAGGATTGTTCGCTGCCTCCCTGTGCACTGTGCACGGAGGGTGTCTTCAACCCCCACATTTACCTGCTGCCGCAGGGGGATAGTCATATGATTATTTAAAAAAAAAAACAACTACTAAAGTTGGGTCTTTCCTTTCGAGTTACAGCAGGGGCTGGAGTGCGGAGCCATGTCCCTGGGAGTGTGTTCTGATTGCTTCTTCAACTTCTGTTTATACAATTTTACAAAATTTTGGCAGGAATCAAGAGCACATACCAGGGTGTTGGCTTTTATGAATCCCATGGGATGTGAAAGTCAAGCTGACTGGATGAACTTTGGTTACATATTCCAGACAAGCACAATGACTCTATTTATTCAGACTTGGCAGCCAGAATGCAGATTGACTCTGTGGGTAATAAATTTTCACAGCCACAAAACTTCAGCGGCAACCAACCTGATCCCGTGCAGAAAAAATGCATACAAGGAAGCAGACTTGGGTAGCAAAAATATGTTAGATTATTATTCCATGTATGCATACCAGTCAGTTAATTTATTTGGCTATTGATTGACATGAATTGCACAAATGATGCCAGGGATCTTTTTCCCCTTAAAGGAACTACTTTCTATTACAAAATTTTCATATTGTAAAAGGACAAGTAGGGGGGAAAAAAGATAATTGTTCATATTACAATTGACAATCTCCTTTTAATATTTCACCCAAGACTGATTTAAGTTATCCAGTGACCTCTACGGAGAAGAGCAGGGTATTATAATGGGGATTGTTTCATGTGCTATGCCACACTTCAAGGAACCAAAAGGCAATAACCACTACAATTCAGTACTCCGAACAATCTTAAGTACAATTTTGACATCTTCATGCTACAAAGCTTCAGATGCTTTCTGGGAGAGACGATGATGAAATTATTACTCTATGTGTTATAAATCAAAATGAATTGGCTCTTTAACTTGCAGATTTATGTTAACTACCTTGGTATCTGTTAATTGCATGCTCTTCAGATATTGATTGGGGATTAAAAAGTATATTTTCTTCAATCTATGTGATGTAAAATATGCCAACAGGAAATTTTCCCTCTGCATATTAGATCCTACGATCACTGCCTGTAAAATTAAAACGATCAGTTTAAATGGATAAACTATGCTCATTAAAGAGGAAAAATACATTTATGTAATTAAAATTAAGAGACTAATATGTGTGGATAATGTAATTACTGTGGGCGCACAGACACTCAGCTCAAACCCAGCCTCTTTTGCCTCTCCTGGGTCTGTGAATCTCACTACCTTAATTGCTGATGTGGAGGGAAGGGTTGGGAATGCCTTGCCCACTGCTGGTCCTGAAGCTCTTAATCATGTCTCTGTCTTGCATTTGGCCTCCCTCATCCGTGGCTCACATTCCCTGGGTCAGTCACTGCCCTTCAAATACCAGCCCTGGGAGTGCAGGAGCACCTGTCCCCCTTTGCACCGCTTCAGAAACTTTCCGTCCGCTGCTTGGCAATTTCAGATGCAAACACAAAATCTCCTCTGGAGTTTTCAAAGTCTTTCCCCTAAACTTCCCTGTTTAGATATTAGCAAAATGAAAAGCTTCCCGGTTCTTGTACAGCTCACCTTCAGCTCTTTAAGAAACTGGACTACTTAAATGAGTCTGGGTGCTCAAAGGTTAATTAATTGTGTAAGGACTATCTGGGAATCACTCATGTACTGTTCCTATCCCTTCATCTTTGATTTCTTTCTTTCCTGTTCCTGAGCTCAGGAGGAGATCTGAGATTAAAGAGCCTCAGAATTAGGAAGTAAAAGAAAATGGGTTCTTCCACTGACATTTAGACACAGATCAATGTTGTAATCTGGGCATTTATTGGCAGAGAGGGTCTGTGTTACTCTTTTTTGGGCCTATTTCCTGCTAGGTAGATGGAAACTTAGTGTTTTGTTATCCCGCAGGCATATTTATTTAGGATTGTTCATTAAGCAAACCTGCAGGTCTCAGCTGAGGTTCTGCAAAGCATTTCAGATAGCAGGAGCCAGCCTGTGCCTCCAGGAGATTTTTATCTGTACAGTCAAGTTAGAAAAAAATGTGACTAGGAAAGGGGACCAAGTCACAAAGTAATTGCCGAAGGTTGCTCATGCTAGGGCCCGTGATGATTAGAAGTGAGTACTGGGATCTCAGCTCTGCTCTTTGCCGCGCGGGTGGCAGACTCTGTCCTGGCTCTGCAGAGCTTGTTGGAGCACCGAGGCAAAAGACCCAGGCTGTATGAGCTGTACCTTAAAGCTCTGGTTACTGAGCGAAGACCTTGCGTAGCACACATGATACTGAGCAATCCAAGCGCATGAAAGATGTTAATAGTTGTAAGCGGTAGCGCTAAACCGAAGGTACCATGTGTGCACACCCAAACAGCAGTACTTTTCCACGATCCCTTCTCCGCCTAAACCTACTAATGTTCTTTTATCTCCTGCACGATAGACACTTTCACGTGTCCTTTTCTGCTTGCTGTGAAGCAAACCAGTATTTCAGTTCTCTGGCTTTGCCAGCCTGTTCCACACTGACATCCATTACTCAGGATCCCATCTCCCTTCCTACCCAAAAGACAAGCCATCTCTCCTGACCACTGGCTCCCCCCTCCCCTACCATGCAGCCCCTCGCTGCAGGCACCACGGCATCTTGGTGTGCTATTGTTATTCTTCAGACATCCCTTCTGTCCCTCACTTTCCTTTGCCCTACGCTGTCTATGCGCTGTATTTTAAACTATCTAGACAAGCAGGAAGAGTAATTAAATGTGAAGTGTTTCAGGATGAAATACATTAAAGAAAAATAAATTGTATAAATATGTAAATAATTGAATCTATGTGCTGAATCTTCTTAACACCAAGAAGCTTTGCTCAAAATAGATGAAATAATGGTTTAGTATAAATATTAAAAGGTTTTGATTTACCTGTTATTTGGAATATATTCTAAAGTAGAGACTTCTAATAACAAGAGTTAAAGAAAACCCTGGAAGAGCTTCATGCCTACATACCTAGAATTATTTGTCTAAGATCCTGAATTTCAGAAGTCTAGGTAGCTCCAGTTACCCTTGACTGAAATAATCACATTTGAAACTCATGTTATATCCAGGTCTGGATCCATCTGTGAGATGCAACCAGGGGCAGTACTGCCCTCATATGCTCTGGTGAAGGCATGGGACATGCATTTTAGTGCAAGAAGGAAGGGAAGGGGCTCTTGCCCTCTCATCCCCAACCAAATCGCCCATGCCAGTATACTGAGAAGGAGAGAGTGTGGCATAGCACCGCTTGGCAACGAGCCACTCGGCCGGCCATGGGAACGTCAAGATCCAGCCCTATTCTAGTGAGTACTTAATTATTTAGACAAAACACAGCCATGTTTTAAGGAAAAATTGGGAGACACCTCCCCCTGCCAACAAACCCCAGATCTTCTGACACATGGAAAACTTTGGCTGACGTATCTGCTCCCAGTCAGGTAGTTTGGGGTTGTTAAAACCCAGGCAAGCGTCCTAATTGCTGTGTTATGGAGTGAAGCAAACACACAGCCAAGGCTTTTTCTCAGCTGTCCTTAGCTTTCTTAGCATGCATGGGCCACGCAGAGACAGGACCGAAAATGCTCAGAGGAGAGGCGAGGGCTGGGGAGATGGTGGCGAGGCTCTAGACAGGTAAGAGGTAAGCAGCCCCAGCGGCTAATCCCTGGGGCCAGCTCATGACTGCAGGGTTTGGCCTGAACCCTTAATCCAGAATTCCTGTTTCTCCCCTCCTTGTCCGCTCTTTAAAACAAAACAAAATCAAATCAGAAGGAGACTGATACAAAAACCTTCTGGGTCGCATCAAGGTAATAAATCAAGAGCACTGCAGACCGTTCCCCACCAATCCAGCAGTTAGCACACGCGGGCTGGCTCTGAGCAGCAACATCTGTTACTCCAGTTACAGTACTGCATGTATTTTGATAACCTTTATGTATGTTTTGAAAAAGCATTAGCAAAATATTTGCAGTAGCTCAGTCTCAACATGAAACATGCTACAAGTGACATGTCAGTTGTCTGGTTCTTACCTGGTCATTCTCTTCTTCATCGCTGCTTAACTTGAGGTCATCTTCTAGCATTCTGGAAAGCAAGCAGTAGAATAAATTATAATTTACCAAAATGCTTTAGGTCTGATGTTTTCTCTGAGCTACTGTAAACATTTAATAATTTAAATAGAAAGAAAATATATTTTATCCCAGTAACTCTGTAGATGTGACACTTTATAATTTTTTCTTATCCAGTTGCTATCAACTAACTTCTTAATTCATTTCCTACTATTACTGCCTAAGGGAAAATGTTTACTAGAGTAATAATGGATTTTGCAAAGATTCTTGTTATTATAATCACTGACAATTAATTTTTATATGCTAAAAATAATATTTTTGATGCTGACAGGTCAGTAGTCTATCTGAAAGGAAAATTTTGTTCCATTTGGCTTTAAGCTTACAAAACAGAAGTAGATATTTACACTGGCAGTACTGCAGCACAAAATAAGATTCAGTGATGTTTCCCAAAGGCCATTTTTACTTTATTGCATGTTTGATGTAAAATTGACATTGACTGAAACAATTAAAACTAAAATATATTGTCTCAGTGCACAAGAGTATCCACAAGGATTTCACTGTCGTATAAACATAGAAAATAATGCATCTTTTCTAATGGGGATTTCATCCTCCCTTCCCATATCCTTTCCTCAACTTGCTTAAACTGGCTCACAAAGAAGAATTTGTTTTTACCTCCATGCCTTTTTTTTACAAGCTAGGGTTAAGTAACCAGCAGTTAAAGGAGTTGAAGAGGTGCAAAGATTTCTCCCAGTGCTTGAAAGGTCTTCAAGAATGGGACCTATTTTTAAAAAACACCTCTGTAATAATAATAATAATAATAATTCAGAAAGTTGCTAATTTTTCTTGCGTTCTGGGAAAAGAGAATTTGTAATTTCGTCTCAACTCCAGAAGAAAGCTTGGTGAGCAATTCAAACACATCCTGTGATGTGGGTGGTCCCCGGAGTGTAAATATCTCAGGAAGACATATGTAGTAATTTCAAACCACCTCCTTGTACTTGTGCCTAGAACTTCCAAGAGCGTGCCTGAAAAGTGTGACTCTTACATGGGCGACATGGTGTGCCGTGTCTTAAAAGAGCACCGAGCCTAACCACCCTCTCCTCAGCTCCTCGCTATACGTACAGTCCCTGCCTGCTGCTGCCGTCACAGCTGCTTCCCTACTTCCCTGCGGCACCTTTCGGGGAACGTAGGTGTATAAGAACAGAATCAGGGGTCAGAGCAGAAAATCCCACTAGTTCACCTCTTAAGGACTCTTGTCTTGCTTTTCTCCCCCATTTCCTTCTACTTGTGCCAAGATTTTTCCTCTGTAAAACCAACATATCAAATTCAGCAAAATCTCATTGCAATGCAGACACCTCAAATATATAGGACACCCATTGAGTTAGAGGGACCTGACAATCTCACAGCAAGACTTGCCCATGTTTTATCCGGAAATATGTCCACAGGCAGGAAAAAGCTCGCTCTGCCATCTCCCGAGTCAGCAAAAACTCCGGTGGCCGTATCGATGCAGCCACCGGCCAAGCTAACAAACCCTGCTGAGAAGTGGGCAAATGGGACAGGTATGAATGACACGGGATACAGCTATAGCTCCTAGGAGCTAAAATATGCAGAGAGGCAAAGCTTCCTGTAAACATTGCAAGATCCACATTGGCTTTGGATCCCACCACTTACAGGGATCCAAACAATCTTATAATTGCTCATTTCTTAAGTTAGATCTGTTTAGGGCATCCCTGAGAAAATAGTGCTTGAAAATAGAAAGCTGAGATCTGGGATTGGGCACTATGTAATTAAATATGATGAAATCTGCACTGATAGTGATTTAACCAGAGAGAGATGCGCTTATTGTGTGAAAAGCAGAGCACCCAGGGTGTCACTGCCGGCTCTCCCTTGAGTTTGAGTGCGTGAATTTCTGCTAGTGAGGTGGTAGGTAAGTACATTATTTAGGATTTAGCAATTTAGCTCTTCTCCTAAATGGAATTTGGAAAATCAAAAGCATATAATGAAATGTTCTAGGTAGCTCTATGCATTTCTTAGTGTCCTGGCTTTTTGTATCAACTAAAACCAAAAATGCGTATTTTGAGTCTGTGATTAGAAGCAACTATGATGCTTTGAAGCCTTCAGATTGTGTGGAGGTGTGAGTGGAGCTAAGGTGAGGCACTGGGAGTGCAAGCAAGAACCATCCACACAAAAGGAACAAGAAACCGCAGCGCTGGCCCATCAACCTCTCCTTGCTTGTATGTTTTAGCCCGTCTTTGTTTTCCCTGTCTGTTTCTCATTTCAGAAGTGCTGCTCTCCAAGAAAAGCACTGTCTGCCCAGGGCTCACGGCCCCTTTTGGAACTACCGTCAGCGTACAAACAATCTCCTAACACTGGGGATAGAAGAAAACAGGTTATCATAAAATGCTTCCTTGCTTGCTTGCTTGCTTTTTTTCCCTAGAGTGGGATCTGACCCGCCTGATCCATGTATTTGTCACAAGGATGTGTCAGGTTAAGGCAGCTTGCCAATGTAGTGGTCTACCTTGTAAAGGCAGGAGCTGTGCAGGTATAACCTCCATGCCTAAAAGTCTTCACTGGTTCCCAGACTCCTTTCACTGTCAGGTGAGGCCCTCAGCCCTGATCTACAAAGCTACAGCCAGAGCAGGACACACTGTCACCGGCAACTTCAGTTTCACCTGCCAGCAGTCCTGGAGAGGGAGGCTCCTTGGGCACCAGGCAGCTCTCACAGCCCAGGCTGAAGCACACCTTGGGTGAGGAGGAGGTGTTTGTGTTATAGGGACTCCAGTTTGCAGTAAGCATCTTAAGGAAGCTAGATCAATTTTGAGTCTGGATGCTTTTGAGGAACGCTCCTCCTCAGCAACTCATTTCCACCATGACAACGATGGCGGTTAAAAGAAAAAGTCCATAACTGGACCAGCAGACCCCACTTGAAGAGAGAGAGAACAGAGGAGAAGAAAAATACTTTAAGCTCACAAGAGGCATTACATTAATTTGTAATTTATCTGAAAAGCACTTTGGCACAGATTCAGCACAAAATGAGCTTTGGTACGTCCTATGTTAGCAGAGCACTTCAGATCATGTTTAAATCAACCCCTGCTCGGGATGGGATTTCTTTACGTATTTTGGCAAACTAGTACAAGGATGGACAGACAAACACATACAAGCTCATGTGCAAACACAGCCTTTTCAACACAGCCTATCTATAGCTATTTTCTATAACACCTTTTTCAGAATACGCAAAATCCAGGCCAGTAAGTGACACCATCCACGGGCTTTAAGATTTTTTGAAAAGGACTTGGCTTTGATGTGCTTGGGTACTGGTAAAAAGATAAGTAAATATAACTTTGTAAACAAAAGCTAGAAAAATGAAGTGGTACTCGAAGCAGCTCTGAAAAACACACACCACCACTTAGGGCTTCTGCACTTGAAAAGAGCGCATATGGTCAGGAAGTCACTTTGCAGAACCTAATTACACATTTTTAGTGACATCTCCGTGAGGTCGCGGAGGCAGCGAGGTGTGGGAGGCTCAGGCAGGAGAGCTCACTGCACTCTATATTAATGCATTTGCTCCTTTCTCTGCAAATAGTGTGACAGGTAGAGACATAATGAAAGGAGATGAGGATGAGTTTGGGATATTGAGAAATGCCTCAGCAAGCCAGCTGGTTTCTTTCTCCAGTAACCAATTAAGGGGTGCAGCCTGGGGTGCTGGGCCACTCAGTTACGGTTGGAAAGGAGGGGCGTGAGGGGTTACGCACATTCAATGGAAAATAGACAAAGTCTTCTAGACGGCATCGATATCCAACATCTGCCAACTTGAATGTGACTGTGTGTCCAAATCTCCTACATAGCTTGTCAGAAAGCCTGACCTGTTTTATCTGGGGGCTGCTCACTGCTTTGGTTCAGTAGGCTACCACGGTGGGGTGACCATGTGGGGCACTGCAGAGGGACCCTGTGGGACTCCTGCTCATCCTAGCATGTCGAAGGGCCAGGAGATGCTCCTGGTCAAAAGTACCCGGAGTTTGGGATGGGAGGCCATCGCAGGCTGCCTGGGAACCACATTGGTCAAAGGAAATGGTCAAGTTGAGACTTGCAGCTTCACTGTTTTGTCTGTCTGTCTTTTCTCCTGATTTGTTGTTGCTGGGAAGTTAAGTCCCAAGCAAGGATTATCATAGAATCATAGAATAGTTTGGGTTGGAAGGGACCTCTAAAGGTCATCTAGTCCAGCCCCCCTGCCGTGGGCAGGGACATCTTCAACTAGATCAGGTTGCTCAGAGCCCCGTCCAACCTGACCTGGAATGTTTCCAGGGATGGGGCATCCACCACCTCTCTGGGCAACCTGTGCCAGTGCTTCACCACCCTCAGCGTAAAAAATTTCTTCCTTATATCTAGTCTAAATCTACCCCCCTGTAGTTTAAAGCCATTCCCCCTTGTCCTGTCGCAACAGGCCCTGCTAAAAAGTTTGCCACCATCTTTCTTATAAGCCCCCTTTAAGTACTGAAAGGCTGCAAGAAGGTCTCCCCGAAACCTTCCCTTTCTCTAGGCTGAACAACCCCAACTCTCTCAGCCTTTCTTCATAGGAGAGGTGTTCCATCCCCCTCATCATTTTCGTGACCCTCCTCTGGACCCGCTCCAACAGGTCCGTGTCTTTCTTATGCTGAGGGCTCCAGAGCTGGACGCAGTACTCCAGGTGGGGTCTCACCAGAGCAGAGTAGAGGGGCAGAATCACCTCCCTCGACCTGCTGGCCACGCTGCTTTTGATGCAGCCCAGGGTACAATTGGCCTTCTGGGCTGCGAGCGCACATTGCTGGCTCATGTCCAGCTTTTCATGCACCAGTACCCCCAAGTCCTTCTCGGCAGGGCTGCTCTCAATCCCTTCATCCCCCAGCCTGTATTGATACTGGGGTTTGCCCCGACCCAGGTGCAGGACCTTGCACTTGGCCTTGTTAAACCTCATGAGGTTCACACGGGCCCACTTCTTGAGCTTGTCCAGGTCTCTCTGGATGGCATCCTGTCCCTCTGGCA